CATTTCAGCCATATGAGAGAAAAACTCATCTCTCTGGTAACATTCATAATGTACCCATTTTAATATTTCATCATTATGAGAATACACTTTTTAATTAATTGGCTACATCTTGAATTAGCAAAATTTCAGATTAGAGCTAAATTATCTAAAATAACATGCTTGCTAAAAAGACATCTTTTGCAGTGTATGAATAGAAGATATAAAAATGGTCCTGTTGTTATTTGGTTGTGAAATCCAATGACCAGTTAATGTCGAATGGCAAGTCACAATAGATAAAAAACGACTTAGTAAAAGATCATGGACAATATTGGCTGGATCCATTGGGAGTCCCCATCCTTGACAAACCGGCGACAAACCCTAGCCCACCCCACGGGATTAGCGCGATGTGGATTACCTTCATGATTTCACTAAAAAGGAGAACAAGTGTTGACTATTTACTCATAATTTAGTCTGATCACTACGTACAAACCTCTCACACAGTATACCTGCATTATTACGACTGTAATTGGTGTTTTGAAGCTTATTCAACTGATTGTATAATCACTGTGACAGGTACAGCAATGACGTGAACAGTGCAAATAGTAGAGAAACGCGTAGTTTCTAATTCCAAGATGTACAAAAACAATTAAGCACTACTATTATGCTCAGAAATCTAAATGAATAAAATGTTACTAAAGCCAGAAAGAAACAATTAGCGACCAACCGAAATAAATACAGCAGCTTGTCAAAGGTTAACCCATGTTATCATGTAAATTAGTATTTCAAAGCAAACATGTGCTTGTCTTCAAGTACTCTGTCGTCGTATTTATCGAGGGGCTGCTTTTAACTTTTGCTGGATGGACATTTGAATATCCATTGTCCACACAGTATATTTAATACCTATCACGTAACTCGGTGTGACCATACTAGCACGGTGCACCTTATCACGCACACACCACACTGATCACCACTACGGAGAGCAGTGTAGATTTTACCGGACTCCAGTTTAACTCATTATCCAAGTACGTCAGATATGCACACCTGATTTGAACACTTCATCATGCGAACGAAATTTATCGCTGCGGTTTTAGTCGTTTGCCAAATTCGAGGTGAGTTTTTAAAATTATTGCAACTACGTCAAACCACAACTTGGTTAGATTGTTAGTAAGGAATATAACGGTGAACTGCCACAGTTATGTACATGCACCAAACTTGAGATCGCCAGAACTGGAACTATTTTAAATGATATGTCCTACGTTGTTAGTATTGTCAACTCCTATGGTCGACGGTCGACCGTGTTTTGTTAAAATAATACTTGACCATGGCCCGTGACCGTGGAAGTTGATGGTCAGTCATATAATGACTAGTTCATTTTAACATTTGACTTATGTAATAATATCTTCAGTTAATTTCTTTTAATTTGTTTTGCTTCAACCGTTACAAGTACCTATTTATATTCATTTAATACACGATGTATCTTACATTACATATAATTTAGGTTGCGTTGAAAGAAATATAATTATTTCATAATTGATTACATACCAAACACAAGCCGGTGGGCTGATTTCCGACCCACTCCGACCGACAACATTTTTTTGGGTGTTGCCATTGTAGGCCATGAACGTAAAGCTAACGTCGGTTTATAATTAAATTAAAACCCCATGTACGAAGTTCGGAAAGAGCATCTAGTCTTCAGAAGTCACTTCACGTTATTACTAGCGCGTCTTTTGCTGTTATAATTATCATATTCACACAGGTTGGCCATTTGATCAAGACTGTGCAATATTCCGTTAGAATAGTGAAATATGAAACCACTTTTTATTTTTCACTATGACACCAGGGACGGACTGGGATAAAAAAACAATCATTTGCTTTTCCGCCAATAGGTCCACCAAACAAAACGGGACAGGGGTAATAGTGATAGCTATAGTGCCTGTGGGTATATTGTCTGTCATAACTGAATTCATACAATTGAACTATTTATGATTTTTTATTCACGAACTTAAGAACACTAATATTCAAAAACTACTAAAAATCACTTGCATCTTCTAAACAAAAATGAACACATCCATATTGCAGTCATGTCTATGCTTGCATTTTAATAAGGAACAAAATAAATACCACTGTTATTTGTAAAAGTTTAGAGCAATTAGCTAATACGGCCGTAGACTGGACGGCCGTTCTTTACTTTTCCATAATGCAGAGATTATCAGTCCGCCCCTGTGACAGGTTACTACATTTTAGTTACCATTTATCCATCCCCGGTATGATGCGTTTGATTTTCTATAATAATTGTCCACGGACCACGTCTATTATACTACATTGATCACTGTACCCCAAGCACTCTGTCGGCAGTTGTATTGCGTTCTACCTTTTTTTCTTTGAAATGTGCCTGTTGATGCCGTCATCTGATGAGTTGCAAATACTTGTCTACGGACGATCGGTATTTTCGTTTCAGGGTAAAACAACTAAATTTGTTCGCATTTCGAAGTGAAGCGTGATTTGCTTGTGAAAAATGTTTCCGTGACTTGTATTCAATGCGTAGACGTAGTTTGCGGCATGTTTATAAAATATAGAACCACAAAATAAAGTCACTGAGTGAATTGTCGGCTACAGAGCTCGTGATAACCAGTTTGTCTATTTCATATCTTGGATTTGTTATACTGCAATTATCGGACCAATGTCATCCATGGTCAGATCCGAGGGTCAGATCTTCTCTGATCATAGTCAAAGACAGTTCTACTTTCATGTAGTGTATCTGGTCAGGATCATTGCATTCGATGGTTGACCATCAAATGCCTTACGATCATTAAAAAAACGTTAAAAAAAGATCGACCATGGCCAACATTTTGCCGGGGGACATCAATCCGGCCATCTACTGACTTACCTCATCAATTTACTGACCAAAAGCCAAGCTGGGCGGTGGTCTTAGTAAGCCTGATACATTTTCTGACAATTGATACACTTACCATCCTCATATTTTAATGAATTAACATTGCTCGTGATATTGTTAATCTTTATTCCGGGGGTTCTAGTCTGGTTTGGTTAGGTGAGCGAAAATATGGGAACACTGATCATTTGTTGAGGTCTGGATACACACACTCAACAATAGAATAATTTGATTCTTTGCAAATTGTTTGCAGTCTCCCCTAACAACTTATACGCTTACGTCACAATTATACAGTTTGAAGATGACGATACACACGATAGAAGGAATGTGCATATAATATGCATACAGTGAAATGACTTTTCACTAAAATTGTAACTCTACAGTCGATGGGCATTGTTTTAACGACATTATAGCATGGACGATGAAAGTCATATGATGTCCGTTTTTGGAAATAGCAAAAGCAATTTGTATCCGTATGTAAACAAACATGTTTAGATTTTTTCTCAATAAAAAACCGACGTGGGAAGATCAAACACAGAACGCCAATATTTCTAATTACTGAACCCATAAGATTTGCAATCACAGCACAACCCACAGTATATGCAGCAGTATCACACAATGCCGGGAACAAATGTGTTTGTATCGATTTTGCAATATTGACACACATTGTCGCCGAATCAAACAAGGGTACCGGTATTTATTTTCCCCTAGTGACGATAACAACTATTTGTTTTGTTTTTTCTGTGGTCGACATTATTTTTTCGAAATGTACTGAGTCTAATGTTCAAGAATTAAGATTGAAAGAAGACAATTTATCACAAATGTGCACACTGTTTGAAAACAATAATTTAATCCAGCGAAGTGTCTTTTCAAAGTCGATGGGTTCTGTGGAATTCTCGTGACGTTACTTCACCATCTGAACCAATATATGTATTGTTTCAAGATTTGATTTCCATGTTGCTAATGAAAAGTATAGTTCGTGTTAATTCAAAACTGTCGATTGATTGTGTCGACTCGTATTGAAACGGCAAACTAAACTGCGCATTACTACAGTGATTTTAATAACCAGATCAAATTCGCAGCCTTGTACACGTGTGGCGTTCACATGTGTAGCAAATCGCGGAGCTTCACCGGAGTTTATTTTAACCCACTGTTGAAAAACACGGTGAACGGATTAACTCAGTCTCAACCCAGGTTCTTTTAGCTGGTAGTCAAAAGACAGGTAACGACCTCGAGTTCTGCTACCATTTCATGGGTGAATACTTTGAGTCGTATCAGTGAAACTAAAAAAAATGGGTGACATGAAAGAATTATTGTTCGTGAGAGAATTCTCACATATTATGTTACAAGTATGTTATGTCACCCGCACGCAAAACTCGGTCGCCGTGTTGTGTACAAGTAAAGTTATGATCATGTGGTTTACGACGACCATCTCGTCGAAAGACCATTTCGAAATGTAGTGTGTTCCAGGGGCTCCTACTAAGAATCATGACGCGTGTTCACAGCATTCGCAAACAAGGATTACAGAAGAGCATTGTGCGTCATAGGTTGCGTGCAGACATTCTTTGCAATCCTTCAGAAATCTCGTTTTGAAAGACCCATTGTCTTGTTGGTACCAAATAAATATAGTCTTTTTAGAAGTTAGCTCAATAATTATTTAAAACCCCTCAATAAGTTTTTAAAAACCTTGAAACAACTTCCTCGGTTCGTTTGCCCCTTTTCGTATGATCGATGTTAAAGTGACTGGTGAGCAAGCAGAGTTTTAACGAGTCGCTTATGTCGCACCTGTTATTGTTGCCATAACGACACATAAACACAGGGATCATCGTACATCTCCCTTCATCCCCGAACAAGTGCGATTTTGAAGTTGTATTTCAAAATTCTATCCGTGTTTCAAAATAATTTGTGTTATTGCTGCATAGCACGCTACAATTTTGTAATCGGCGTTTACGCTATTTTATTTAAATTTGTACACGCGATCTTTGTCCGAGTACATCGTCAATTCCACCATTTTGTACATCATAGTTGGTAACGAGAATTGTAGTAGGTAATAGTAGCTCTTGGTGATTATTATATATAACCAGACATTTCGAGCAAAGACTCCCAGCACATCGTTTGTTTGGGGCATCAGCAACTTTCCGATTTAGTTTGTAGCTAAGTAAATAATTTGACACAAATTATGTATTCGCACGCATAAATAATAATAATAATAATAATAATAATAATAATAATAATAATAATAATAATAATAATAATAATAATAATAATGAGGGTATAAATGGCGAAAGCCGAGTTATCGAGAAAAAACAAGGGACTCTTTCGAGATATACCCGCTTTCGCGGTAACACGGTTTTCGCCATTTGTACACTCGCATACAATTTTCTTTCATTGACAACACACACATTAAGACAAGCGAGAATGCATACAAGTGTAATTAGCACCTTGGACTTAGTAGATTCAGTATCGCCTATTGACTTTATTGCCCAATCAGTTGATGGAATTATCAAGGCTTTAATAGTTCGGTGTAAATAACCTAGCTTGACCGGTGTTCCTTGTTCTATATATTCATTGTACTGGACCACGGGTCTTTTAGTGCCACAATGAAGACGGAGAGGCTTTATTATTGGACATATTACATACATATTATGTCTATTACTAGTACAATGAAAGTCGCGGTGACTTTGACACAGATAATCCAATGGTAAAGCATTCCAATAATAAATGAGCGTCATTCTGGTGACCGCCAATTTTAATATTTTTATATTGTCCGAGACTATTTTAATTTTTGAGTATGCTTCTTCCTTAAAGGTAATATCCAGTATGTTAAACATTAAACGAACTGTATATTCAATTTCAAGTCAGCTTGCAACATATAATTTCCAACTTAGCGAACCAATCAAAACATATTCGTATCCACGAACTCGATATTTAATAACCCCAATATATATAATTATACAAAACATTGTCCATTTAGAGAAAATAGTGAAATGACACAGCATCATGTTTTTTTTTCTAGTTAACTCTTTACAAACCCCATAAAGATGAGTGTCTTAGCCACTAAAAGTCTTCCTTCCATTCTTCAACAAACACGTTTACAATTTATAAATGTACTCACAATTCTTATTAAATTAAGTAATCAAATGAAAAACTTCCCAATCAATAGGACTTTCGACAAATTTGAATAGTGTTGTGATTCTGTGCATACAATGCTAGCATTGTGAACTAAAATGTTCCGTTTGATCCCAGACAACTAATAAATTCATCATTCTGATGTTTGATGACTCATAATTAATTACAGATATACGCATGTACATTTAATTAATAGTACGTACCCGTAATTCATGTACACTTATTAAAGTATGAATGTTTTCAATGGATTTCGATTGTTTGTTTTTTTAAATACAAAATGATAATATTAGTGTGACGTATCGGTGTTTAGGTTTTGTTACTATTACAATATATTAGGGCATACTTCAGGCCGCGAATGTCTGTAGATATTCCAATAAAATAATGTTTTTGTTTTACAGTGTCGCTCTCTGTTGTCGCCACAGGACCAAAAGTTGACAAGATTTCACCGTCATTTGGTAGCGTCAGAGGTGCAACTAAAATCAGAATAGAAGGGTCAGGTAAGGTCAATTAGAATATTGCTACGCTGTCATTATAAATCAAACAAGGGGGTTGTTTTTATTAAGGGTGTACCAATATTCCTTCTTCTGATGGGGACTGAAGTCTGGGACGATTACGCGTAGACGCCACCAACGACCAACTTAGTCATTTTTTAGAATGAGCTTAGGCCGGCGTTATGTTACTTTCAAGTTGTTGGCGATAAGAGGGTAACTGTACCAATCATGTGATTTCGATGATAAATAAATAAATAAATAATAATAATAACTCTAATTGAATGTATCTGTTTTCAACTATCCAGGATTCAGCCGGAATCCTTTCAATTTTGGTCGTGGAAATGAACACCGTGGCAACAAGGTATTTTTGGTATCAAAGACGTCATCGATCAGATGTGATGTAAATACGTATTATTCAACTGATACTCGTATCGTCTGCGATACAAGGTATTACACCATTAATCATTATTTGTATATATGTGAACACTGTTATTGATAATCCGATGTGAGTATATACAAACTTTTGGGACTTCTTGAGATTCGCGTGCTTGCATTAGTCCACGGTTACTAAAAACCGTGATTAATCTGAACTCTGAATAGTTAAAGGGTGGTGGTCGTCGCGCCGAGTCCTGTTCGATATGAGACTCAGAGCGACGTATACAACGCGTGTAAAATACATTGTTTATTTACATGAAATTTGAACACGCGCTGCGTGACAACCACCGCGCTTTAACAGCTGTTTGACTTGATTTGATTATTTAATAACTACCAAGGATAGAAAAGCTCCGCTTCTCGGGAAATTGTAAAATGGACCAATTTTATCGTTTTACATTATGTAGTGACATTCACTGAGTGATGCAAAGTTATTAATTATTCCATGCTGCGTGTTTCTCTGTCGTGATACAGGAGAGCATCCCCAGGAAGCTATACAATCCGTGTGGCGGTCGACGGAAAATTCATAGAAGATATTGGGGGACAATATTGTGACGATATGGACGATTGCATTTTCACGGTAGGTTTAAAAACAGTAGCCCTATTACACGGAAAAGAGACTTACAAAATAGAAACCTTTATTCAATGGTGGCATGGTCACATAATTCCTGCATATTTGAAAAACAGCACATGTACAGTAAAATGACGTCAGATCTATTTTTCAATTTGTCTATTAGTGAATGTGATACAAATGTTGAAATTTCCGGTATTCTGGTTAGTTCTATGGAAACGTAGCGCACATTGTACAAAGTAGTACCGAGCTCACCAAGGAGTGGAGTTAGCACGGAGAAAGATGACTTCGAGACGCTTTACGCAAAAGTGAAAATACGAATACGTGTCACGATAGCTTGAATATAATATTGTTTTTGTTTACAGTATTCCGTAGCGGACTGGTCGCCGAAGATTTTGTCAATAACACCATCGAGTATGGTGCCAGGTAATAGTAATACTTTATATGCCTTATTTAAAGAACATTCCTATGTAATGCATGTGTAAGGTAGCATTGTTCGATCTGTTTCAGCTTTTCGGACCAGTTTGATGATAAGTTTATAAATATTGCGAACAAATAGAATAATTTCAGATATTTGAACATAATTGTTTTCTTCTCAGTGCCAGTAGACATGCTTGGCAAAAAGGAACATTGAACGGATTATTGTTGTCAATTTTACATGTGACTTGTACATAACCAATTTTTACTGGTTCATTTCAGGAACTATTCTGGATGTCAGAGGTCAAATCTTTACTGACAAATATTTTCAAAATGACGCAGAAAAGGACGAGGATGCTCCAAGCATTTTAAGGTAGAAAAGTTGTTCGTATGTTATAATTTATTGCGACAGGCGCCAATTGTAAAATTTTTATTGTTTTACAATCTATATCATATATCGGACTATAAAAAAGGCACAAAACAAAGGCTTCGTTTATAAACGTGCCGATATTTAAAAAAAATAGTAAAAACCGATTATCACAGCTTTAATTCATATTCAAATATCCAATAATAATTGACTCAAGAGCTAAATATCGTCTACGCCCATAAAGCGCGTGCATGCATTCACGTAACTGCGACCAGCCACGTAATCTAAATGAGGCGCTCGCTGATATACATACGTTGACGTCTATTCCTTTTCTTCATCGGTCAATTTGAATTCTAACATCCATTTTGATTTATAAAAATATATATTTATTTTTCCGAACTCAGCTATAAACCATTTACTGTATATATCCAGCACGTTTTGATGAATAATTAATTCTATTATAACCGGACAATCTTCCATCTAGTAAATTTATACCCCATACAAATGCTTATGAATGCGCATTGCGAGTAAACTTTGTATTTTTAATTTACGTTACTATTACTCAAGCAAGGCCTGAAAAAAAGAAAAGTTCTCATATTACCCACAATTCAATGCACAACCATAACAAGATGGCGGAAACTTTAAAGTTGTTGTTTGCGGGCTATCTGGTATTTACACTATTTTTCTCACTCCATACGCTGCCTCCATGAATCATGTCTATTATTTTTATAATGGTTGGCTAATTTTAGGTCAATTTCGAGCAGGTTTGAGGTTCGACAATATATTCTGAATATATATTTTGAGTCTTTTGGTGATCGGCAGACGGTAAACAACTCGAGCAATTTTTCCGGAAATGGAGATTACTGTAGTATCTCCAAATCGGCAGACATTTTCCAAATTAGTAATGCATTATAGCACAGTGTAGCGGTAACATTGGTTTAGGTTGTATTACTGGCCGACTGCATCACTGGGCTTTATTTTTGACAATTCATCCTTGGCTTAAAATAAAGTTTCACGAAAAATAAAAAAAAAAAAAAAAATTCTCATTTTTGGTACACTTGGAATTTTTTTTTATTGTAATCTATTAGCAATAATGAAAATCAGTGCTCATCGACCCAGTTTTTGACAAATTTGTGTGTTTATATTACGCAGCTATGTGAAGAAAAAGTAAAACATGACTTTTTCAAAGATATAATTTATAAAAAACAACAACATTGTAATGATGGGGTTTGTACATTACTACAAATATAAATAATGGATAACCGACCTTTGTAAAGTGGTATTGCCATGGTATATAAACAAACTTGTCTTTGATACTTATGCCATGGCTAGTGTTGTGCAGCCCAGGCTGGCTATGTTGAGAGCAGTCTTCTTATATTTGTATTTTGTTCTCAATTTGTAGAATCTATAATACAGGCCAAGAATGCAGCTTGTTATACACAGATGAAAATGGGAAAAAACAACTGTGAGTGAGAAACTTCATATACATTTAAATGATATAATTCCACTTGCTATTTGCCCTAGGGCAGCAGGGCAGCAGGGCAATGTAGTAGGATTATAGATTATTCTTTGTTTCATATGTTGAGGAAGTGTTGAGTATAATTTGGAAATGCCATACAGTGCAGTACATGTATTGGAACCGGATTTAATTTGTTTCCACATTTATGACAAAACAATGCTACAATCAGGTGGTCATTAGAAGAAAACTTGTTCATCTATGAACCAGTGGGAGTCAATGCCAATGGAAAACTACAACCCTATAACAATTTTTTTTCTGCGATATATATATAATCATATTATAATTATAACTCTGGTTGGGTTGGTTCGATGTGAGGGATCAAATTTCTATTAAAATAAAATACACTCATTCTAATTCCTCATTTAGTCTCATTTCTTTTTGTCACCAGAAATGTTTCCAGTATAATAATTTGAAGGCATTTGTGAGGAATTAAATATGAAATATTCTGCGACTACATAATTTCATGAAATACTGTCTTTGTCATTGTTACTACATAATTTCACAAAATACTCCTGTCATTATCATTGCTACAGGAAATTAATACCCTGATGTGAGGGCGCAATTCCTATACTGCTACAAGGGCGGGCAATACTTGGTATATTTAACATTTATGGCAGAAAACATTTATAATTTATTCACCATTTTTGTTATTTTATTGTTCATTAGATATGGTATCACACTTGATAGTGATAGTACTTGGGGTAATTTCCAGTGTCGTCCAGGAGGCACATTTATTGGTAAGTACCAATATATATTTAGTGACTACATACTTTTGAATAATATTTAATGAAATGGGCTCACATGAGAATCTTTGTTTCTCAGACAAACCTAATATGTTAGTGAATACATGCATATACAGTATTTTTAATACTCTGTTAGAAGTGCATCTCCAATAGAAGCGCACATAACCCCAAATTGCATGTACGTGTATGTATACTGGGTCATTAAAATAACACTTATTTTGATCATAGATACACCTTTGTCATTTATATAAGCTCATGTGCTACTAGGAGAGCAAATACTGTATTGGAA